AGAGGCCCTAAGTGCAACCAGGCGCCTACTCGCCAAACTTGGCCTATGGAGAGTAGTGCAACTAGGCCCCGTGGCAATAAAAGGTCGTTATGATGACATTTGTTTAAATTATGTATTGTGTTTATTGTACGGCGGGGTGTTGTTTTGTAGTGCCCGGGAGTAATTCTAGATGCATCTGGCCGTAGACTCTACCGATGTGCATTTCAGTGAATTGTTGTGTGATGCTGCCTTAGCCCCACGATGGGCCTCGCTCCACTAGACAACACACTACTTGGGACCACGAAAATTCAAAATGTTTGACTCGTGAGGATGCACCTTTTCCTGAAAGCGTCCACATACGTTACATGTAGAGTGATGTGCGCTGGAGCGAGGCGCGATGATTGTAGCGGTGGCGGAGCAAGGTCCGGCGCTTGGAGCGAGGCCCTATGATTGTAGCGGTGGCGGAGCAAGGCCGGCGCGAAGCCCACACCACTCGAAAAGTCTATGCGCCTCGCTCCACCACTCTAGACATGTGCAAAACGAGATTGAATCTTCCGCTAGAACATGGAACGATACACAGCCATGATTTTTGTCTGCTGTGCATGTCGAGAGTAGTGGAGCCAGGCCGTATGGTAGCGCGCACGACAGAAGATGAGCGCGGTAACCACGATTTTTCAGTTTTTCATTTTCATTTTTTCTTCTTTCTTTTTGTTTCTTCCGTCTTTTGTAGCCTGCTGTTGATTATTGGCGGGAGGAACTTCTCTGTTGAAAAGATTATTCTTTTTTTTTTCCTTTCTTTTTTAAAGGAGAAATAGCATAGTTTCATTATAAAGGCAAAAGGAGGCCGGGAATCCCTCCACATCTCAACCCGGACAGAGGAACCAAGCCTCAGAGAGGCTAACTGGAAACCGGGTCCAGTGTCCCATGCTCCTATCAACAGTCTTGGTATTTCTGGAGAAAAGGAAAAATAGGCAATTGAAATCTACCAAAAGACACAAAGGGACGAGCTATCTCTCTATCCATGATCCTACAGACATTCATGTCCGGGGGCATTACCCGGCTTCTCTTCGTGGGAGTCTATCTGCGACTCAGCAAAATCTCCTGAAAAACTTCCACTAGAAGATCTAACAACGATACCAAAATACTCAACCAGTCTACACTCCGGCCCTTAACTATGGCCAATTTCCATCTGCAAGTCAATAACTATTGCCAATCGATTTTCAAAAACGAAATGCAACCCTTCGGACCAACCAATCTCCAAAACAATCATACAGCAGTTCATTGACTGAACCGACACTGATCCTCTCACAGCTGCAGGGACAACCCTGTTACCCTYACTGTTCTACCACCCTGTAAGGAGCCTGATCTGCCATGACGGGTTTCCCACCACRCACCCTTGGACCTTCGTTTTTTGCGGACACAATGGGTACAGTTCAAGTTTGCTCCTCACCGGTTCTCTCATAGCACCTAACCAATAGCGTTCCCACMGCCTCTTGATACCCTCCAACTACTCAAAATGGCGCCGCTATTAGTAATTCCGCRGCTTTCACCCTGAACTGTAGTMAGGATTGCCTTGTTCTCACACTCATGAGCCGCTGTGGTGAGCTACCCTTTCACCCACACTGTCCCAACACCCTGTGAAGAGCCTGAGCTGCCATGACGGGTTTCCCACCACGCACCCTTGGACCTTCATGATAAAGCGATCGCAATGGGCACAACTCAAGTTTGCCCTTCACCGGTTCTCTCGTGCCATCTAACCAGTAACGTTCCCACCGCCCCTTGTTACACTCTCACTGGACAAGGTGGCGCCGCTACAGTAATTAGCAATTCCACGCGTATCACCAGATTTCCTTCATTTCCAGTCATAAACCACTGTACTTCCTTTTCACAAAAACTATGGATGCTATGACCAACCAAATGAAATACTCAAATGAGCCTCGACTAGCAGAGCTACTGCTTATAGAATAAGGCTGCAG